GGCGCCGCGCCGACCGCCCCGCTGGATCTGCGCGCACCGGCGGGAGCTGCTGCGTCCTGGAGGCAGCGGGCAGCGGCGAAGATCCTTGGTGAGTCTGTGCCTGCCGGGGGCTCCTTCTCCACCTGTGAGTCTGCCCCGCCCGCGGCCGTGGCCGTGGCCGCTTCGGCATGCGCCGGTGTTAGGCTTGGAAACCAACAAGGAGCAGGGATTCCGAGGGCATCGCCTTCCCAGCTGAGGTCCAGAGGGCCAGAGGGGACAGAAAGAAAGCTCGCCCGAAGGGGGTCGGGCGGCGCGACCAGGACGCAGAGCTGCGCCGTTTGTGCCCACCAGTTTTCAGGGTGGGGCTGCGCGGTTGCATGCAACCCCCCCTACACACACACACACACACACACACACACACACACACACACACACACTCTCACACAGACACACACACACACACACACACCTATGGGCAGAAGCCATTCTGGGCGTGTGTTGCGTTTTTCCATCGGAACAAGCTGCGCTTGGCTACCGCGCCCCTCGTGGACTGGCACCAGGGCAGCACATGGGTGTACCCTGCGGATCTGCCCTGGCGTTGTCCGCCTGTGCCCGCGGCTCTCTTGGAGGACATTGTTGCTGGGGCTCCAACCTGCAGGTGACAATTGATTTTTTTTTTTCCCTGAACAACTGAAACGTTTACAAGATTGTTGTGTTTTTTTTTTTTCCTCCCTTTTTCTCCTTGAAACTGCCTTGACATAGACAAGTCTCAGACATGTGAGGACGAACGGACCGAGCCAGCCCTTTTTTCGTGATGAATTATTAGACTTCATCCCCCTCTCGACTTTGGGAGGCATGTGTTTCATCTTATAAATAGAAAGTAGCATATTTTTTGGCAGGACCTCCTTTATGCTGCAGCCTAGGAGAGGTCAGTTTAAAAATAAATATGCACTTGAATGTTACATTACTGAGAGCCAGGCTGTGGCTGGGACAAGCTGCGTGGACAGCAGACAACAGCATCAAAGGCCGGAGCGCAGCTGTGTTGAAAGGAGCGAAAGCCCCAGAGTGCAGCCCAGGCTGACAGTCAAGTAATTACATTTTGTTTTTTAAAAAAGTGAATTAAAATGAGAGTGGGAATAGGAATGTCAGGGGGCTATTGCAGCTTGAGTTTTTCCAGCCCTGGTGTATTTGGGGGAGTAGGCTGCTGAGGGGTGAGACCTCTCGGAGGCACTGATGAATGTGCTAGGGAGACAGTTTCCCTCCCTCCACCGCCCAGATCTTAGCCCTCACAGTATCCAAGAGCATCTTGGGGGTGCTGCCTTTAAAAAAGAACAAAAATGAGAGCAGCAGAGGTCTGTACCGTAAGAGCAAGGCCGGTCTGAGGGATGCTTCACATCACAGGGAGAAAACGGCTCCCCAGGAAGCGGTGACGGTACCCCCAGGGGTATCCCCAAGGTGAACTCAAAGGCTCCCAAAATGCTCTAACTTGTAAAAGATCTTTCATCGTACAACCAGGAGATGCACTTTCTATTCTTTTCTGGACAGTTCCAGAAGTCTTCTTTTTGATACCACCTGTAATTTGTATGAGCTTTTATTGGTAGCTAAGAAAAAGCTACTCAGGTGTGCCTGTGACAGAAATCCTTTTCAGAGTAGGTTTTGAGCACTCGGAAGTAAGTTGGGGCAGTTGTGAAATATTTAGCACCATCACATGTGAACTAAAGGGTAAAGACCATTTATATGTCCAAGAAGTGATTGGGAGTTCTTCATGAAGTCTCCCAAAGAATGTAGGTTTCCCCCTATTTAATAGACTTCCCCATTGAATAAAACACTCAGGCCCAGCTTCTGGGTTCACAGATAAGGAAGGAGAGGAGGAGAAATTTGGAAGCGTTTTTGGACTCTGTGCTTTCCACTGCTGTAGGTTTACATTGTGAATCCCATGATTGGAGCTTGGTGCTGTGACTGTGACAGCTGCTACCCACTAGAAATAAGATGAGCTCCCCCTTCCCTCAGTCTGAGCAGTGAAATTCCATTTTGTGTCTCAGTGGAACAAGGAAAGGCAGCTAGAGTAGAGAGTGTTGCCCAATTTTAGCTTTTTATTGCAGATTTCAGTGTGGTGCCGGTTGAATAAATACAAAGCCTTGCAACGACTGCTTCAAGGGCTTGCACGCGCGAGTTTGCCTGTTTAAGCTCCAGCTTTTCCTTTCATGTGGTGTTTTGTTTCATGTCCAACATGTTCACTAAAGCTGCTCTCTTTCTTTTATAAAATTCCTGGTATTCGTCAGCGTTGGAATAGTTGCTTTAACTAGTATCACCCGAAGGTTTTTTACCAGGCCATATACTTTTCACAAGCTCTTTGCCCACTAGCCATCACATTTATCTAGTGGGTGGAATAGAATTCACAACCCGAAAACCTCCAGGAAGGCTGCTCTGATTTTTTTTTTTTAATTATTAAAGTTCTTGCTTTCAGTCTGATTTCATCTAGGCCTGCCCTAATTTCTTTATGAACAGAATCCTGTAGACCTGTTTTTCTTTTCATTGATTGAATAAAAACCTAAATCTTTTTTTAAATGCAGTGTGTTTGCCAGAGAACAAGTACAGCCACTTGAAACTACCAGATTTGGCCAGCCACAAAATCCTCTGTTCCTTGCCCAGCACAGAAGGCCAAGAATTCTCCAAATGTATCACACTGTTCATTACTTTAGATGTTCCAAGTACTTCCTACATGCAGCCCATCCGGATTTTCATTACATCCAAAGTGATGAACAGTGTGATCTTCTCAGCCCTTTATCTATACTCACTCAATGTATTTCTAATAATCGTTTTAGGAAAGGAGAACTGTTTATATGTCCATTTACAGGTGTAGAGACTGAGGACAGGCCAGTTCTATCACTTAAAGTTGTACAACCAGGAAACTACCTAAACATTCACATGCAAATTAGCCACACAGTGGATTCAGGTGCATGCCTGAGTGGCTAATACCACATGGAAGTCAGCTGCTCTTTGGGTTAAGGGGTCGGAAGGAACCCTGAGGTATTGAAGCCTCCCTGAGTCAGAGTGGCGGGGCACATGTCCTAGCTCTGGCACTTAACACTTGTGTGACTTTGGGCAGGTCACTGAGCCTGTGTGCCTCAGTTTATCCATTGTAAAATGAGGATAATGAAATTACCCTGAGGATTAAAGAAGTTAAAAACTATAATATACTCAGAACAGTGCCTGGCCTAGAGTAGGCACAAGGAAAGGCTGATGCTTTCTCTGTTGCTTCTGTTGTTTTTCTAGGTGCTTAGCCAGCAGTCTAATTAGGCTGCCTAATTAGACTGCTGGTTTCTTGAGGGTGGGCACTGAATCTGGTTCTGTCTTTCATGTCCATAACTATTCTTTGAGCTAGATAGTATAGCCATCCCTTCTTATCCATGGTTTCATTTTCCAGGGTTTTAAGTACCTGCAGTCCAGAAATGGATGAGTATAGGACAATGAGATATTTAGAGAGAGAAAGAGGCCACATTCACATAACTTATGTTACAGTTTATTGTTATAATTGTTCATTTTTATTATTGCTGTTAATCTTCCTGTGCCTAATTTAGAAATTAAACTTTATCATAGGTATGTATGTCTAGGAAAAAACATAGTATGTGCAGAGTTCAGTATTGTCCTTGGTTTCAGGCACTCACTGGGGGTCTTGGAACGTATCCCTTAAGGATAAGGGAAACTGCTGCATAGCAGAATCAGGGTTTGAACTCATTTGTGTTTGAGTTCGTACTATAGACCACACCCCCACCACTGGGGCAGAGAGGCAGAGAAGCTATTAAATCTGATTCTTGTTATGACTTTTGTCCTCTGGGAAGGAAATCACTTCTTTACCCTGTATCTCACAGTGGAAGATGACAGTAACTGCCAGCCTTAGGGAATACCATGTGGATTATTTTATTGTTAAAGATGGTTCAATCCTGTACACATGGCAGCAGTCTTCTGCAGTGGATCCAGCATGAAAACTGCTAGGGTTAAAATAAGCGGTTACATTTGTACCCTAAACAAAGAGATTTGCCAGGTGAAAATGTGGAACTCTAGCATGAGAAAGCAAGCCACGCCACAGGCAGGGACAAGGACTTTGGGGGGTCTGGGACGAAGTGGAGCTTAGTATAGACCATATCTTTTTTTTTTTTGAGTCAGGTCTCACTGTGTCGCCCAGGCTGGAATGCAGTGGCATGCTCCTGGCCACTGCAGCCTCGACCTGCTGGGCTCTGGTGATCCTTCCACCTCAGCCTTCCAAGTAGCCAGAACTACAGGCACATGCTACTATGCCCGACTAATTTTTATGATTTATTGTAGAGATGAGGTCTCCTCAAGTTGTCCAGGCTGGACTGTATCTTACTTCAAAGTTCTAGAGGCTCAGGTTGCAGAGTCCAGTAGCCATGCCTGAACAGTCACCTCCCTGAGGCCAGGGACCACATGCACAGTTCCTGGGCATTTGATACTTGGCACCCATTGGACTTTGAGCCCATATTTGGTGATGATGCTTCCCTACAAACTAAACAAAGGCAGGTAAGGTGGGTGGGAAGGCCCTAGGCTCTGTGTTTGGCAGAAGTCGGTTCTGTTGCAGTCTACACAAGCCCCAGACTCTGTGAGATAAGCTCCTGGTATGAAAGATAGAGCAGTCTCCTTTGCCTTTGATGGTCTGGGTTGTGATCAGCTCTGGGCATCTGCTGTGGGGGCTGCTCAGACTGAAGCAGGGGTTCTGGAAAAGGCAGCTCAAAACCACTCAGGTTGCCTCAAAACCTAGAGCAACAGCCTTGGAGCTGTCCAACTCCACTTGGAATCTTCCTCTTCCATCCCTGCCTTTTAAAGGCTAACAAACAAAACAACACCCTACACACCAGAATAAATAAGTAACCAAATAGTTCCGCAGCAGTGGTCAGGTATGTTTCTTTCCTTTAAAAAAAAAAAAAAAAAAAAAAAGCTCTCCTTGGCCTTGTTACTTCAATGCCAAGTCTCACTGGAGTCACATGATGATGGACTGAGTTTGACAGTACCCCTGGTGAAAAAGCAGTTTTCAAAATTTAACAGTACAGTTTTGTGATATGAAGCATGACATTGATATTAAAATCATTGCTG